ATCGCCCTTAATAGATAGATAGATAGATAGATAGATAGATAGATAGATAGATAGATAGATAGATAGATAGATAGATAGATAGATAGATAGACAGACAGACAGACTGGGAATGCTATCAAATAACTTATTCAAAACCTTGCCTTCCAAAGCATATCGATTTTTAGATGGATCCGTCTAGTCCATAAATACTGTCCACATCACGTCAGATCTTCTGAACAGTTGACTTGTTGAGGTGTGTGGTCTCCACAGAGGTGGAAGTGGGTTGGTACAGCTCGATTTGGCCTGCTGGGTTTTTGGTAATGGACGTTTTGAACAGGGAGTTTCTGGAGGGCACAAAGCTGGTCTTGCACAGCGCCCCCCACAGGAAGCGCAAAACCGAGGGGCTGAGGATGATGAACACCCAGGGGTCGATGATGGAGTTGACCGAGAGGAACCGCAAAGCTATGAGATCAGTCTTGTTGCTGCCTCTAGGCTTTCCCATGGAGTTGATGTACACACGGATCTAGAGAGAAGAAGAAGGTAATTCAGAAGTGTCATCCATCCTTAACCACACATGGCACTTTGTCAGATGATGCTGTCATAGGCAATGATTTTTCCGAGCACAGCACTGTGAGATTTGCCAAAGAAACCATTTCAATATATTTCAATAAATCATATCAAATTTCAAGCAGGAAAAATGGATATTTATTTTTCAGCAAAAATATCAACAAATACAGATCTGATTTCTGCTCAATGTAGACATAATAAGTTCACTCTAATAGGATGCATAGATAGATAGATAGATAGATAGATAGATAGATGTCTTTAAAATGCTACTTCTTATATGAAAAAATAAACGACTAATTATTTATTAATAATTAGTCATAGTTTCTGAGTATGACAAATAAGCTGCATGTAAAATCATCGTTTACAGTACATGTTGTGTAAAGCTGCTAGCACTAACTATAATGAAATCATTGTGGTGAGATATGTGGAGCCTCTGTATACACTCTCTGGTCCAAAGTATAGTTTTGCATTTATGATTTTAATAATTAATGTCCTTTTCCACATCCCACAAATCATATCTAATTGGTTAAGTGAGAAACCATTCTAATTGTTGACATGCTTATAAGACTCAGAGCTCATTTATCAATATTAATGACAGCGACGTGGTTGTGCAAGAGACTTAACAGTCATTTCTTACATTGATTCCAATTTAAGGAGCTTTTGCTTTTACTAAGATTTCAGCTATAACTGAACTGAGACAATTATGTGGGCACATAAGATTTTGGGTGTGTATGAGCAACTCAAAAACATAAACAAGAGTAACCACGGCACAGTCTGACAAAACCTGGGTTTGCGCTTTCTGTCACCCGTGCAAGCAGTAATATATATATATATATATATATGTATATATATATAACCCACTATCTAGATGTCTTCATCTTGGACTTCCCATCAATGAGTCATAATGTCATTTTAAAAACTTTGGATCATTTCAGTTTATTCTCATAAAAATAACAGATGCATAACAGAGCAGAAATGATTCATGTTATTCCTATTTTCCTAAGTTTGTTTACTTCTGCTCATAGTCTTTTATGACAAAAGCCTTTGTTTTGTCTTATTCTTCTACCACACACAAAAATGCATTTTGACTAATTCTGACCATTTTTTTTTTATTAATAGTGTTGTTTGGTCAGGAGAATTGTTTTTGCAGACCGTCAAGTATGATGAATGTATTACGAAATTCTCATGCACTGCATTTCATCAAACTGGAAAGCTAATGTGTGATTATCTTTTTGCATGTTCAAATATTTTTTCCTTTCCCATTTTAGTATGCAGAGACCACTGTAAGCTGTAGACTACAATCAAACAGTTGTAGTTTGATTTGTGTAAGTGTAAAGATTGACGCAAACAAACTTATTTTTTTTAGAAGTGTAGTCAAGTTTATCAGTGCAAATATACATAAAAAATAAATTTATATTTTTCTCACATAGCATCAAATCCTAAGGAAGTTATTATGAAATCTGATTGTTCTGATTTTGCATAACCTTTCACCAGACTGGAGCCGTCCATCATTGCATTTACCTACTAACCCGTACCACAAATTTAGTCAGTGGGCTGCTGGGATGTGAAATTATATTACTTGTAATTTATGCTGAAATTCAATTGTCCTTAATAAACTCAATTCAAACCAGTGAATCAGCAATAAGTTTGCAATGAGCTCTGAGTCATAAGGAGCCACAAATAATAAACTGTAATACTTTAATGTCTTTTCACCTACTGTTAATTATCATTTGTACATAATTAATGTGGGTAGCATTGTTCCAGATCACTGAAGGGTGAGTGAGGGGTGTTTGAGTCTGGTTTCAGCTAGACTGTATAAAACAATATTAGTCTGTCAGCACCAAGAGTGTTTGTGTGTGACAAGACAACCACAGCCTAATTGCTTTTCACAAGAATTTCATAAAACACTCGAAGAAAAATACACTCCAGCTATCTAAATCTAAATATATACATTTATCTTTCTTAATGCAACTTATGAAAATTACATTTAGCAAAGTTCCATAACTTCCATAATCCTGAACTTGTAAATTTTTTATGAATTTACTTCAGATCACTTTCATTCGTCCTAATAAGATGCTTTAAGTCTTACCATTAATGGCAGGGAACAAATGACAAATATGACTGTCATGAAGACCAGGAGAATGAGATGTTCCACCTCCTCTGCCCATGAGAAGTACCTCCTGTCCCTTTTACTCCGGGTCTGCACTGATCCTCTGTTCATTTTGCGCCTCCGGTACATTAACACCAGATGGTAAACTACAAAACAGTTGCATGCCACTATAACTATAACAATAAGCAGCATCACAGTGGCATAAACATTTGCATAAACCCGGTCCTCCATCCCCTCTGGATTCATGGCAATAAAGCACCATGTCCCGGGACAGTATTGCACATATTTCCCAAAGCCTGCAAATGGCATTAAGCAAAATAAAAAGCAGATTAGATAAATGCAAGGGACGGTGATGTATCCACAGCGTTTGGTGACATGCCTCCCGTAGTGGTATGGGTACCCGATGGAGAGGCACCTCTCCAGTGCCATGGCGAGGAGGATGGAGAGCGTCGCCAGACTGAAGAAAGTCATGGCAAATCCAAAATATTCACACACCGCACGTGTCTCGCTCATCCCAACTAGTGTGGTGTTGGTTAAGTATGCAGTCTGAACCAGGGGACTGATCAAGCAGGTTCCCATTAGATCCATAACGACCAGTGTGGTCAGCAGCAAATGGAACAGAGATTGTCGCTGCCGGTTCTTCTCTTTCCTCCTGCGGAACTCCAGGAGAACTAATGCAACCAGATTCCCGAGAACTCCAGCTGCAAACATCATCGCGCTGATGGTTGGGCCACCGTTCTGCTCCACACTCAGACTTTCAGTGCAACTTTTGTTTTCTGTGCCCATTACTGCCAGAGATATACCGAAACTCCTGTTGTAGATCTTCTTGGAACTTCTCCAAGCTTCCTTGAATTAGCTTAGGTTGGCATGTTTAAAAGCAAACTCTATATTAGAAAAACTGCGTTCAATTAGTCTGTTCTTCTTTCTGGGTATAGAATCTAAAACACTTAAAGGTGGTTCACCAAGGTAAAGGAATGTTCATCAGTGGAAGCATGGTGTGTTCCAAAATACAGATCCATACAAGTATTTCAATGCCTCTGGAGTCAGACAGACTTGCCTCTTAGCCTGCCCCATGCTCTTGAAGGCAAAAGGCAGTGGGAGAATGTAGTGTGAGCCATGAGATCCTCTGCTGAATGAGCTGTTGGCTGGTGAAACAACGTCATTGTCTTGACCCCACCCTCAACACACACACACACACACACTGATCCAGACACAGTAATGAGAAATTCGAGCTTCCTTTAAACCTCATGTGCTGTTGAAACTTTACTTCCTGCATGTTTGGGGTCCTGCACTGTATAAAAATAATAATAATCAAATAGCAATTGTAATGCTAAAAACTTACTAAAAAGTAAGCTTGAATGGGTCTCTTAAGGGTTACATGTCCTATAAGCAGTTGAATTTGCCTTTAAGAAAGACTGCTCTTTAAAATGACCATTGATTAAATAATGACCACTAATCCTTGAAATTATCACTATTTTAAAATGACCATCATGCAACCAAAGCCTACATGGAAAGAAGGATCCCAAATAATCGGTGACTTAAAATTATTATTTTTAAATGTTATAATTGCATATTTTTTATAGAATTGTTAGAGCTTAAAATGAGATTTAGTTAAATCAATAGATTTAATTAATAGTTTTAATATCTTATGGATGAATAAATAAATAAATTTGTTCGCCAAAATGTTGTTCATTAATTGCTTTAGAGTAACTTTTTTTTTAAAGAAACTCATACTTTTATTAAGCAATGGTTTGATCAAAAGATTTCTATTTCAAATGAATGCTTTTCTCTTGAACTTTCTGTACATAATATAATCCTGTAAAAATGTAACTTTCCACGAAAACATTATGCGACACAACTGTTTTCAACATTGTTAATCATAAAAAAAAATTCTTAAGCACCAAATCAGCATATTAGAAAATATTTTGAAAATGGCCCATGAAAGTTTATCTTAGTTGGCATGTTTTCCAACAGTTATCGTTTCTGTGGTCCTCTTTGCTTTATATTCACATAATTAAGCCTAATTCCTCTAGCTGTAACAGACGTTTATGAATGCTGAGAGATGTTCGAATTTTTCATGGCTTTTAAGGTTGGGCATGTACAGATCTGAGCTCACAACATGCTGCTACGCGTTTAAGTCTTGCCAGAAGGGAATTTTGTGCTCTTTTACTTTAGGGCTTCCTGGTCCTTTCTGTGCAATGTTATGTTTTATGATATGATAAAACAGCATTTAAACATTTACAATGACATTTTACACACACACACACACACACATACACATATATATATATATATATATATATATAGGCATATTTCCACCCAAGTAACTAAATACTTTTTTCTTGATTGTGAAGCTTCCGTATGTGTTAGGCCCAAGCTATTTGGCAGTGATGCTACTATGGCAGTGATGTCTGTATTTGTAGAGCTGTAGATCTGTATTTGTACCATAAGGTCTGATGTTAATAAGAATATGTAAACACACTGAATGTGTTAGGCTGCTACAGCCCAAATGGTTACAGCACAAATAGCTTGGGTCATGCTCATATTGACAGGTCAAACATGGTTATGAACATGTCATGAAACTTGAAACGTCTGGATCAGATTCACTGAAACTGAAGAACATCACATGTACATCAGGACATGATCAAATTCCAGTTACCTTAAGCAGACAAAAGACATGTCCACTGATGAAATCATGAAACAAGGAAACTTTATTGTATAATTTATGATTATAGGATGAATAAATGACAAGTCACTTAAAACAATAATAGATCAATTTGAGCTGTAGAGGAGTGATAAAAAAACTTTTACTTGCTGCAACCCATTACTAGCTAAATCAGCTCTGGTTAGATTTGGTGTTATTTGTTTACATCTTGCACCCTCTACATGCCAAATAAGGTACTGATCTATATATATTTAATTTTATTCAACAAGGATGCATTAAACTGATCACAAAGGACAGCAAATGCATGTATAATGTTACAAAATATTTCTTTTTCAAGTACATGCTGTTCTTCTGAACTTTCTGAATCATGAAAAAAAAATGAAACAGCACAACCGTTTTCTGATAATAATAAGAAAGGTTTTTTGAGCACTGAATCATATTAGAATGATTTCTGAAGGATCATGACACTGATGATTGGAGGAATGATGCTTTGTCATCACAGGAATAATTTTATGGCTCATTCAAATAGAAAACAGTTGTTTGAAATTGTATTGATGTGTCACAATATTACAGTTTTTACTGTATTTTGGATTAAATAAATCTCACCAACCCAAACTTTTGAACATTAGTGGATATGAAATCAAATGACCTCAAATTTGATCTTTTGTCATTGCTTGCATTTCTTGACAAACAGGTGTTTAGGAAAGTGCTGTGGTGGTGTTCGTTGTTATTTAGTGATCTGAGAGAAGATAAAATCCAAGTGGCCTTTCACCCTTAGGGGTCTTTTGCACTGTTGGACACTCTTTTGTTAGTAATTAAACAAGTGTTCTTGGATACTGTTTCAATTTTTTTGTGTATGTATTAATTAATTATTTCAATCAGAAAACATCAAATATTTACAAAGCAAATCCTTCAGGAATAAAATGTAATTTATTGTTTTTATTTTTTTATTTAAATGTATATATATATATATATATATATATTTTTTTTTTTACTCTTTGTAAGACTAACTTATCAAAAATAAATAAAATGTAATAATAATTAATAAAAATAAATAAATAAATGTTTACATTTTCCAACATTTCAATGGTTTCAAAAACGTGTTTCCAACGAATGATAATTTCTCTTAGCAGCAAATGCGTAAAAGTCACTCAAGATCAGATTCAGTTACACCGAGAGATTAATTGCTTCATTTTCTTGTATTATAAGCACAGTTTGTTTACAGAATAATTTGTTATAAGAGAAATATATATATATATATATATTTTAATTTCCAGCTTCGATATGTCCCCATTCCAAACAGGGTCCAATATTCATATAGGAATGTCCACTAGACAGCACCATAAACACGACCGACATGTAGTGATCGGTTCTCAAGATGAAAGAACAACGACGAAATAAGTTTGTGTATAGGCCTATATGTCAATAATAATAAATCATTTAGACAATATAAGAATCATACACAAAGGAAAGAAAGTATGAACACAAAAGTAATTGAACAGTGTGAAAGAGTCTTTGATGAGCCTTTGATGAGTGATTTGCGAGACTAATCCATATGTTATCTAGTATTTACACTCCTTAAATGGATTAAAGTCGATTTAAAATAGCCTAGTTCTCTTTCAGATTGAATAATTGGATTAACAATTGGATTAAATATATTTGAAAGCAATTAGCACTAAACTGTCAGGTAAAACAGGAAAACATTAGCGATTATGCAGAAAAAGAATTAGACAGAATATTTACCCGAATAAAATATATTATTGTATAATTATAATAATTTTGTAAAATAATTATTATATAATTATAATAATTTAATCAAATAAAGCTTAAAACAAACAATACTATATTTCACTTAATATATTTGATTAGATAGTATTATTATTACATTATATTATAATTATATTATTTATAATCCAGATTATATGACATACACAGAAATGTATTTATATAAATATGATAAAAAAGTATGAGCTATGAAATATGCTAATTCCGAAAAAATTTCGACATTGAATAAATGATTAAGTTCTGTAATTAAATAAATGAAGAATTGTTCCTTCAAAGTCTCTTCTCTTATAAGCTTAACGTCGGCCAATCGTCGTCCGCGTGACCTCCCACAGTCCCTCCCGTTCAGTGCCTGGATCACAAACTTCCCACCTTCATGCAGCCCAACATCTCCAACATCCCCGCGCGCTCCAGCTCATTCAGACGGAGTGTGGCGCGGGAAGAAAAGCTGCATGTGTACAGCTGTTCATTAAGATGACGTGGGACAAAATAGCGCTCTTCTTTTTACAACTTTCATTGACAGCTCAGCATGTCACAGCCATTCACAGACATGACATCTATCCATATGGGATGTTTTACGGCGATGTAACTCTGCAAGAAGGGGACGATGAGACTTCTGAAGTGACCACGCTCACCAAACCAATGTACTTCTATGAGACGTCCTTCACTAACTTATATGTGAGTACATGAAACGCCTATTAATGTTTTGTTGTTGCTGCTGTTTAGCATCTATCTATCTATCTATCTATCTATCTATCTATCTATCTATCTATCTATCTATCTATCTATCTATCTATCTATCTATCTATCTATCTAT